TTTAGTTTGCAAAAAAATGTTTTTAATCAAAAAAAACAGAAAACTTCAGCCATCGATCGTGTTTTTAAGTTGGACTAAGTCATCACGAACGTCCGATAAAAGAGTTTTCTAAATTTTAAAACCAAAAGAAAGAAAAAACCTGTTTGTTTTTAAATAAACACATTTTACAACTGTCAATAGAAAAAAATTTCTCATTGCTTTTCATTATTTTTTGAACTATTCACAAAATAATTTTTTAAAAAAAAAACAGAAATTATTTTGTTTAAATCAATGAATAGTTCTGTTTGTTTCTTTCTGTCGTCATTATCAAACAAATGACCGACAATTTGAGAAAGTATTGACTAATAAGAAAGAAATCTGCTTTATTTTTAATTCGCCTCCCATTTTCATAATGACAATTATTATTACGATTATTATTATTATTATTATTATTATTATTATTATTATTAATATTCGGATATAAAATCAATACCACTTAGTTAGGCCTAATTATGATAAATAGTATTTTATCAAGACAATAATAAAGGATGGATGACATAATTGAAAAAATAATGGCGGGGAAAGGTATATATATATATAGGGCAAAATAAATTAATGGTTAATAGAGAAACTGAAACCTCACAAATTGTGATACAAATAATATGATAGTTGAAACAGTTGGGTGTTTAACAATGTTCTTCAGTGAATACAGATATAACTATTTGTGATAACTAAATGATAACATAAATAGTACAAGAGAATTTTGAAAAATGAAATTATAAGTCGATAGAACCTGACTTTAGGGTAGGGGTTGTGAAGATTGTTAAGTTGCACATTTGAAATCATGAATCGATTTAATGTTAGACCACCATTAGAGAAACCTGGAAGCAATGGACGGCCGTTTCGTCCTGGTATGGGACTCATCAGTAGTGCGCACCCGCGATTCCTGCACCTCGCATGATTTGAACCCAGGAACTTCGGTCTTGCGTGCGAACGTCTAACCTCTGGGCCTAAACGGCCATCCAATGCTTCCAGGTTTCTAATGGTGGTCTAACATTGATCGATTTATGATTGGAATGTTAATTATCGAGGTGGATAAAACAGTTATGTAAATAAATTTATGATACACACTAAATTTCAGTTCGTTACAATAGATTCTGATAGATGTAGTCGTATGCAGTAAACGTATACAGGGAGGAGTGAGAAGAATTGATCAAAAGCCTTTATTCATGTCTATTAGGTATCCTATATTAAGCAACTAGACAAGTATTCAGAGCCTGATCACTATTAATTGTCTTTTTTTAGCCACCCAATATGATAATAGGAAATTCAATGACAGATTATTATTAAAGATTAAGAATCTACCATGGGGTTTAATAACATATGATAAAGTTGTTGCTTCCTGTTCTGTATTATCAGTACATGGATGCCATGCGATTGGATAAAGAGTTTTTTTAACAAGAAACTACTGAACACTAAAGAATATCAGACGGCTGTAAAAAATTAACCTCCCAGTGATATTAGCTCAAGCATAAAAATCGATCGGTAGATACAACTCAAATTAAATTTGTCAATAAACTCCACCTGGAGTCCTTCTAGGGTTATTGCCCATCCCAAACCCGAATAAAGAAGGAGGATCGAGCATGAGGTCAGGTACCGCATCTTTTAGTAAAGAACTTCACTACAAATCGCTGATCAAAAAAAAATCATTTCGAACGCTTCAGCTTCGCACTGGCTGTTGAAACATTTGCATTTAGAAGAGTTATGATACCTTATGGTGAAAGCCGATCTTCGGAAGTCACGAGACCGATGACTCTTCTGAAAAGCAGGGCGACAGTTAACATAGGTGCCTGTATTGTCCGTACAGTGTGAGAGACCGAGAGGACTATACAGGTAGCTATGGAAATGAAAAGATTTGCTTGGAATAATTGAAACCCATTGGACATTAGGTGGATAGAAAAGATAAGAATCAGGAAAGGTGCTGTTATACTCCGGCCATGAAGAAGAAAATGCCTTACATACACAAGGATTTGTACTGATTGTGTTCAAATAATCAGGAAAAGCACTTATAGGATGCGAATCTTATGAACCCAAGATCTTCCAAGCGTCAGTCAAAACAAGGAAAGAAGGGACCACATTGAATGTCATTCAGTTCTGTGCACCCATCCTCTATAACAGTTAATGCTATAAAAATCAATTCTATGAAAGTCTGCTGTCAGTCGTAGAAAAATATCCAGCTAAAGATTTGACCATCTGATAGGAGACCTAAACGCCATTGTTGGGATTAACAGCACTTGATTCGAAGACATCAAGAAAAGAAAACAATAAGAAATTCTCAAATCTATGTGCTTTCAAAAAATGTCTATGAACGGCATGATATTTTCACACAGATGTAGGCATAAAGCTACATAGTCTTTTTTCGATCAGACTACGGAGAACCAGATTGATCACATTTGAATCAATAAAAAGTTCAGAGGGACCATGAGGGACATAAGAATGAAGAGATGAGCTGACATAGCTTCAGGCATCTATCTCGTGGTGACCAAGTGTTATGTCTTTGCGACAACCAACTAGCAGATGTTTACTTTAAAATTCGAACGACTGCCCAATACTAATTTGCCTCATTCTAAGAGGAAGAACAAATATCAGTTACCATCAGTCCACAATGAGAGAAGTAAATCGTGTGATAACAATTTATGGGTAAGTAAAAAGCTTACGATAAAGCTAATATATATACCTGGTATTTTAGTTAATTAATAATTGCACAATTAGATTATATACATTAATAGTCCACAAACTAGTTGCAAAAGTTTCTGCTTATTTCAGTTTTACATCTGGATTCAACATCAAGATGAAACTGAAACTAAGAAAACTCTGGACAACTTGGCAAAAAGCATTGAAAAATTTCAGTGCGGCCTTTATTCGATATACTGACAAAATCAACGAGTTTAAGATAACTCTCAGTAGTAAGCTCCAAACCTTTCAATATCTACTCGATGAAGAGGAAACTACCATGGAGAGTAACTGTAAAGGGGTTAATAAGGCAATAACTTCAATATGTCATGAGGTTTAGGGCCAAAAGAAGCATCGTCAGAAGGAATGGATCACTGTAGATACTCTGGATAATATCCAACAAAAGAACTACATGAAGACAGAAATCAGTAACAGTCGAACAAGAGCATAGGAACGCGAGGTGCACTGAAAAGAACAATATATCATCAAGATACCAAAAAAAGGAAGTCTTAACAATTGTGAAAACTACAGAGGAATCTCATTGCTATCAGTACCAAGAAAAGTCTTTAATATTGTTGTCGAAACGAATGAAGGATTAAGAAGACGCCCGGATTCAGGGTCAGTAATCTGCATCCTGTCAAGATTGATCAGGTCTCAGCCAAACTGTAACAGTATCTATCATAGTGTAACAATCATTTGGATGAACCTCATCAAGTAAGTAAGTAAGTAAGCAAACAAGTAAGTAAGTAAGTGAGTAAGTAAGTAAGTAAGTAAATAAGTAAGTAAGTAAGTAAGTAATCAGTGAGTGAACACTTCAATGCATTTTAATTTTTACTGGAACACAATTTCTCCTTATTTTACATTATTCAATTATTTTATTCTGTATAATTTGCACACATAATTTTTTAAAAGTTTTTAGTGAGAAGTATTTCAAGATTATTAGTGTTAGTAATGATTATTATTATTAGAATTTACAGTGGCTGAATTAGTTGTCGAATAAAATACGGGTAATTTTAGACAATTGCAAGATCAATCTAACTACAGTTTGAACTGAATTTATTTAAACGTTGAAAATTGATTAAATACCCTATTAACTCAAATACTAGTAATCAGTTA